TAGTATATGTAAAAAGATTTGGGTGAATTAAAAAATCATTTAAGAATAAGTAATTTGCCTAAATATAAAAAGAGTTAAAAGAATAGTTATTTATTTAATGTCTGAACCAAATTTTTTGTCATTCAATTAGTGTTGGTTGAAAATAAATAAATACAACGAAGAACGATTAATAAATTAATAATTAATAAGCAAAAAAAAAAATTTAACTTGAAAAAATAAAATATTTTAAAGAAAATTAAAAAAAAAAATATTTTGATTTTAAAAATCAATTAAAATCAATTTTTTTTTTTTGGTTTGAAAAAAAAAACCCCCCGGAAAATAAAACAATTAGGTAATTAAATTAAAAAAAAAGTTTAGTAAGATCGAAAGCATACCTGATACCGGTTAAAGTTTCATACCTAAAAAGCGATAAAGCAAATACCGTAACAGATACACAAGAACATACTACCGCCTAAACCACATATAATTTGTTACGCAATGACAATTATTAATTTTTAAACATAGGCGTAACCCGCGCGTTACTTTGTTAAACAACTAACTAGTAATTTCTAACACATACTTAAAATTGAAGTATTAGACCTTTATTACGCTTATTGTAATCATTTTTTCGTATATTATTTAAAAGTGCATGATGCAATTGCTGATATTGATATTTGATAAATTGCGCGATACGACCGATACGTCTCTGAGTTACTCATATTTTGAATAACTTTTTATAATAGTTACGTAAAAATTGTTACGCAACATACAATTGAAGGCCAGTCCTGCGGATCAGCCAAATACTCCTTTAATTAAATCAATCAATCCAATCCAATCCAATCAATCTGTCCAAATATAAAATCAGCGTATTACGTTCCTTTTATTTTGTGTATAACCAACCCACTGATTATTTTTTTTTTATAAATAAACCACTTTTTGCACTTTTTTTTTTTAACGACGTTTTTTATATTTTTTTTAAGACGTTTTTTATATTTTAACTTTTATAACGACATTTTATATATTTTAACTTCTATAACGACGTTTTTTACATTTAAATATCTGTCTTTTACATTTATAATGACATTTTCTTTTATAATGAGGTCTCTTTTTTTTTACGAGGTCTCACGAGGTCTCTTTTTTTTACAACGAGGTCTCTTTTTTTATAACGAGGTATCTCTCTCGTACAAAAAGAGTTTGTTTTGCAGTTTTATTAGTAAAAACGCCCATTTCCTGACGATGTCTAGGTTTTACATCTGGTCGTCACACGTAACGAGGTATCTCTCTCGTACAAAAGGAGAGTGTTTTGCAGTTTTATTAGTAAAAACGCCCATTA